GACGAATTTTGTAGGAAATTTAATGCTCTACAAAAAAGGTNAATTTAATGCTCTACAAAAAAGGTATCTTATATTTTTTTCATAAACCTCACCATTTGAATGATATTGAAGATTTAAGTTTGATTATTTTCAGACATATTTCATTTTTGTTTATGAATTTTATAACTCTCAGTTCAATAGAATAAAATTCATACCTCATTATTTATGGATTGTACAGAAAAATGTTCTAGACGAATTTTTTAGGAAATTTAATGCTCTACAAAAAAGGTATCTTATATTTTTTTCATAAATCTCACCATTTGAATGATATTGAAGATGTAAGTTTGATTATTTTCAGACAAATTGCATTTTTGTTTATGAATTTTATAACTCGACAATAAATGACTATTAAAAAATGCACAATACATATTTTTGTAGGAAATTAAGTGCTCTATAAAAATGGTGTCTTATGTTTTGGCGATTAAATAAAGCGTTCGAAAGATATTCATTATCAAACTTTCATGTGTACTGATTTCTGTCTCTGAATATCTTGTGAACGCTTAATTTTTTGAAGTTTATATTTTTGGACGATACAAGTAAGAATTGTTGATTAATTAATAAAAAGAATGATATTGTCTTGAATATAATTGGGTATCTCAGGATGATGAGTTTTGTTGAACGAGCTTTCCGCTCCTCTTATCGTTGACGTTGTTTCGCGAGGGCGTGTATCCGGGAGTGAAAGGCTCGATATTTAAGATTCAACCTCTCTTCTTCTCAACGGGAAAGTCTCAGAGTAAATGCTTACCTTGGATTCTTTTAACAATAACAATTTATTAATACACTCCGAACAAGATAGGAAATGATTTGATTCAAGTAAAAGGTTAATATCGTTCATTAAATTTAATCTAATCTTTTATTCTTTAAAGATACTTTTAAATAAAAAATGATCTTTTGTTTTTATTTTTTTATTTTTTTTTACAAATAACAATACAATGAAATTGAATATAATTAAAAAAAAAAAGGATCGTGTAATATGAGTAATATTTTTTCCACAATAATTAAAATGATTCGAATTTTAAATTCAAAATGTTCTTATGAAATGTTAAATAGAAAACAATACAAATTGTTGTTTTTTTTTTTATGAATAATAATAATAAAAAAAAAGTTTCAATTGCTCCAAAAAGGAATACATAAAAATTATTTTATATATATATATATATATAAATTTGATGTTAATAGTATAATATTTAATATATAATATTTAATATATTTTATCTATAAAATATATTATAATGTTTAATTAAAATAGTAATAAATAATGTTAATTATGTTATAAATTAAATTATATTTTAATTATATAACATCATAAGTTAATAATTATTGTTATTTTAATAATGTTTAATTAAATGTTATAATTAATAATATACTTAATATAATAAATAAATAAATATATATATATTGTATAATGTTATTATACAATATATATTATTATATGTAATTTAATTTATAATTATATTTAATATTATATATATTTAAATTTATTATAATTAATTATGTATATTATATATGTAATATAATAATATTAATTGAATATAAAACAAATTAATTCTAATGAACAATTTTTCATGCACATTTATAATTCGTATCATAAAAATATTAANTATATATATATATATATATATATATATATATGTATATATGTATGTATGTATGTATGTATGTAAATATGAGGTTAAGTATACAACATACTTAATACATAATACATAGTCTGTTTTATAACAGACATATGATTTAGAACAGTGCTTTACATTATACTTCTAATGGACAGTTCTCTACGAACGAATAAAACTCACTGAAACTTTCTTTTTTGACCATTTCAACTACTAAAACCACTACGTTATTATTACTTCTTATATACGTTACACATATACAAATACATGCTTAAACATATATATATGTTTCTATATATGTCATTACGTACTAAAAATATTATTTAATATTTATACGTTTATTTCTATTTCGTTTTATTATCATTGATCTTTTTTTTCTTATCTTTTATCTTTTCTTTTTTTTCTCTCTTTTTATCCTATTGTATATAAATATTTGTATATATATATATATATATATATATATATGTTGAAAGGATTGTGTTGTTTACGAAAGTGAAATTTTTAAAATATTGTTTAAATTATTTATTTATTCGTTAAAATATTAAATAATATCGTTAATATCATTAATATTGAATAATAGCGTAAGAATTCTAATAAATTCTAACAATTCTAACTTGGAAAAGAAAATAAAAGAAACAAAAATGTTATTAAATTTACAGATCTATGTTTAAATTGTTAAAAAAAAGAAACCAAATATTCAGAGTTATTTTTAATTAATTATTTAAATGATTATTAATTTAAATAATTATTTAAATTAATAATTTAAAAGATTACTTATTATTGATATGTTGATAATTGATATTTGAATTCTAATTTGGAAAAACAAAAGAAACAAAAATGTGTATGTATTATTAGATTTAGAGATCTACGTTTGAATTGTTGAAAAAAAATACAAGATTCCTAAATTATTAAATTGTTGTTAATCATTAGGTATACTAAATTAAAGAATATAATTATGTTTCTAAACAATTTGAACAATTCTAATTTAGGAAAGAAAATAATGGAAACAAATATGTTATTAGATTTACAAATCTATGTTTGAATTGTTAAAAACAGAAAAGAAAAAAACATTTGGTGATATTTGTAACCCAAATAATAATTAAATTATTAATTTGTTGATAATCGTTAGGTATAATAAATTGAAAAATATAAAAGTGTTTTTAAACAATTTTAACAATTCTAATTTAGGAAAGAAAATAAAAGAAACAAAAATTTTATTAAATTCATAGATCTATGTTTGAATTGTTTAAAAAAAAAATACTCAACATTCGATAATATTTTTAACCTAAATAAAAATTAATTATTGACATGTGGATAATTTAACAATTCTAATTTAGAAAAGAAAAGAAAAGAAACAAAAATGTTATCAAATTCATAGATCTATGTTTGAATTGTTAAAAAAAAAAAAAATCAAACATTCAGTGATATTTGTAACCCAAATAATAATTAAATTATTAATTTGGTAATAATCGTTAGGTACATTAAGTTAAAAAATATAAAAGTGTTTCTGATAAATTTTAACAATTCTAATTTTTGAAAACTAAAATAAAAAATTAGATGTTTTTGTTATTAGATTTTAAAATCTATGTTTGAATCGTTAAAAAAAAAAAAAAATTACCAAACATTCGTTGATATTTTTACCCTAAATGATAATTAATTATTTATATGTGGATAATTTAACAATTCTAATTTAGAAAAGAAAATGAAATAAACAAAAATGTTATTAAATTTAAAGATTTATATTTAAATTGTAAAAAAAGAACCAAAGATTCGTTGATCATTTTTATTTATTGTTAAATGATAATTAAATTATTAATTTGTTGATAATCGCTAGGTATATTAAATTAAAAAAATATAAAAATGTTTCTAATAAATTTAAACAATTCTTATTTTTGAAAAAAAAAACCAAAGATTAGTTGATCATTTTGATTTATTGTTTTATGATAATTAAACTATTGATTTGTTGATAATCATTATATACATTAAATTAAGGATTATACGGAAATGAAGTGATGATGATTTGTTGCTCGTTAAATTATTGAAATATTCATGGAATGTGGAATCTTTTTGCATTTGTACAAAGAATAAAAACAAATATTTTTTCTTTTTTTTTTTTTTATTCTTTTCTATCTATTTCTCGACTCGTGAGAAAGTTTTGCCCCCGGAGTTTGTCGTAAGATTTGCAAAGAAAGAGAGAGAAAAAGATACTTCGATAGATAAATAGAAGAAAAAAAAAAGAAGAAGAAGAAAGAAAGAAAGAGAAAGAGAAAGAGAAAGAGAAAGAGAAAGAGAGAAAGAGAAAGAGAGAAAGAGAGAGAGAGAAGAGAAATGTTGAAGGAAGAATCTTTAGCGATTAACTCGTGCGAGCACGAGTAGGATTCGTTCGTGCGATCGTAAATTCTCGTCTTGCTTAGTAACTTGTAACAGCATCCTTCCTGGTCCAACTTGAACTCGATCATCTCATCTCACAATCAGACAAGAACATGCCAAAGGAAAATTTTAACTCACTTCAAATATATTGAGTTATTTTAACATTATTACAAAACACGAAAGTAAATACAATTTTTTTTTTATTTTTTTATTAACATCTTATTCATTTATTATTTATATATATATATATATATTTTATGAAATATTAATTTATTATAATTATTATATACAATTTAATAGAGCAAATATATATAATTAATATAAATATAAATATAAATAATAAATAATAAATATAAATTATAAATTTAATAAATTTATTAAATTTATTAATTTATTATTTTTATATATAATTTATTAAATTTTACACATTTTTATAAATTTTATTAAATTTTTATTATAATAAATATATATATATATATATATATATATATATATATTTATTTATTTATTATAATAATTATATATAAATAATTCACTAAATAATAATGTATGAAAATTATTATATTATACAATTTAGAAAAATAAATATATATATATAATTTATTAAATATTAATTTATTATTTATATATTTATTATAATAATTATCTATACATATAATTCACTACATATTAATTTATTATAATTATTATATACAATTTAATAAAATAAATATATATAATTTATTAAATATTAATTTATTATTTTTATATATTTATATATAAATAATTCATGAAATATTAATTTATTATATATATTATTTATTATAATAATTATATATAAATAATTTACTAAATATTAAAACTTATTATAATTATATATATGTTTTATGAAGTCAGTGGTTGACTTCGGCTGTCCCCGAATCAGTCCGGGACTGTTGTGCACATTACTTAGGGCTTGCTTAAATATACTGTAATATTACAAAATATTAATGATACTATTTTCTTTCTTTTCAGGAATGCCAATCTTTGAGAGAAGATAATAAAAAATTACAAAACGCATTGACGTTAAATCAAGTGCCACACGTCCAAGTGATCGACAATGTTTTTCTTCAAACTCAAATTGAAACACTTCATTGGCAACTTAAACAGGTAATTATCATCATCATCATCATCATCATCATCATCATCATCAATATTATTATTAATATTATTATTATTAACATTCATTACTTTTAACCGTTAAAGTGCACATGGGGTGTTTGACACCCCAACAAATGTTTCATCTCTCGAAAACGGTACTGAATTCGAAAAAATGAGTTATTTATCGCCATCTAGTGTTAATTCAGATGAATATAAAACCTATTCTATTTTAAAACAAATGTATTAAACTACTTTTAAAAAAATTGCGAAATCTAAATATTAAATAGCGGCTTCAGGAGACGCGTTCAAACAAGTTGAGGTGTCAAACACCCACATTGATGCACTTTAACTAACTTTTACCAAGTATGCACTTTAATGGTTAATATTATTAATTGACATTATTAACATTAATACTAACATTCATTATTATTAATACAAATTAATACTAATAACCAATAATACCCATTAATATTA